GTCATCAAGAACCCGCCACGTGAGATCTAAATAAAGGGACTACGAGCAGAGAGAAAGATCAAGACAGGAAAGGGTGCGAGTTCGAGAGTCCACATGGGTGGGCTCACCAGAATTCAGAAGAGACAGGGAAGAAGAGAGGACAACGGTTCGAGAAAGTGGCCTCAGGTGTTTGTCAGAACATCACCCAAGAGGGTATGTAGACAGTTGAAATCACCCAACAGGAGCACTGGCTCTGGCAAGGAGTCCAGGAGGTGCTTAAGCTCAGGAAGGGAAAGCGGGACATTTGGGGGGAGATAAATGGAACAGACCGTATACCATTTACTCACAAAAACACGGGCAGCAGAACAATGGATAGGCGATGGAAACAGTAGGGGGACGAAGGGAATATCAGTGCGAATCAAGAGAGCAGTAGAGTTATGGGCCCCAGTAAGAGCTGGGGGAGGGAGAGAAGGAATAACCACGAAGTGACCAGGACGAGCACGAAGCATTGGTTCCTGGAGACAAACACAAAGTGGTGAAAACTGTGTAATCAGAAGTTGGAGTTCATGGAAGTTGGCATAAAATCCACGAATATTCCATTGAAGAACAGACATTATCGAGAAGAGAAAGGACAGCAACAGAGAACAATGAAGAAACAGGTTTTAGGGGGTTAAGGGGCATGGGTAAACTGAGTAAGGATGGAGTGGAGGGAACGGGAGGGCAGACCAGAGGCGGATGGGTAGGGTCCGGAGGAGGAGACAACCGAGAGGGGAGGTCAAGGACAGGAGGAGGAGGGGGGGGGGGGGGCAGAAACCGGGGAGCACACCTCAGCAAGGGCAGCAACTGAGAGGGAATCAAGGGCTAAAGAAACCTCCATAGCCGAGACAGGTGGCCCGACCACCGAAATGGAAGGGGACAGATCGAGAGAGTCAGAGGTCAGAGGTCCCTCACTCTAGGGGGTGAGGAACAAAGCAATGCCTTCTTACCTGCTGGGGAGGACAAAGGAGAGGAGCCAGGCTTACGTTTCTGACTCAAAGAGACAGGTGTTCCAGTAACAATATACTGGGCAACAGAGACTATTGTCTCAACAGAAGATCAACGGGAGTGAACAACATGAAGATTGCTGGGAGGGTGATGGACATCAGCTTGGACAGACAGGCGGCGTGGAGGGCCAAGAGACTGGGGGGGAGAGATGGGAAGGATTGGGGAAAGATGGGAAAGAAGACACAGGAAACAAGGCAGACTGGGTAGGAAGGGGGGAAACTTCAGATGGAGAACCAGGAGGGGGCCTCATTCGGACAGAATGTACAGGAACAGGGAAGGAGGTGGTGGACATGTCCGGGTCTAAGATCTGGAAACAGTTGTGAGACTGAGTAAGGTGGGAAGGACGAGGAGAGGTAGAACGCAACACGCGAGTGTAGGATTTCGACCTCACCCATCGAAAGGGGTGAGACGGCGAACCTGGCGTCTCGCTTCAGGAAAAGACAGATGATCCCGGTGTTTCAAGTTGAGGACGGCTTCCTCAAGTGTGTAGTGTATACATGAGTGGGAGAAGGTAGGGTGGGCCTCACTGCAATTGAGGCAGTGAGCCTGGGGAGAAGTGCACTCGGACTTAAGAGTGATCATCGGCCCCACACATGGGGCATAGATACACAGTACTGGAGCATTTGAGGACACCATGCCCAAACTTCCAGCACTTATAACTCGAAGGGGCTGACGACGATGAACACGAGGGGGTCGAGTAAATGTGTCTACCTGGAGGACAGGATGGCCTTGAGCTTCGAGGATATGTTTAATATCTGTGAGATTTTTTTCTATGCCTACCTCCCTTAGGAGGTGGACCTCAAGCATAAAGAACTGCACACTGCAGATATTTCTACTCTAAGCATGAGACCAATAGAAAAAGGAAAAGCAGAAGCAAACTGCCAGGCTTCCACCACAAGGGTGAAAACCTGTCCACTTGGGCCGCTGGTTCCTCCTAGTTAAAAAGGACGTTAAAACCAATAAAGGGTAACGATGAGTTCTCACACCAAATTTTACTTTGATGTGTGGCGCTATGAATTCGAATTCGAATTTCCCAAGAACAGCCATTAAAAAAAGATCACATTTACAGACAATCGTATAAAGCAGAACATGGGTGGAAAAGAATGGTTGAAGAGTTGACATCAAAGACCGTTTTCTATAACAAAAAAATTTTTTAACAAGAGACTAAACTACTACAACATTGAGTTTACATTACGTTAATGTCCATCAAGTGGCACTATAACAACAGCTAAAATAGCAACGACTATTTTAGCTATTTAGCTATTCTGGTCCATTGCTGTGCGGCTGCATACTGAACTAACCTGAACACAGGTGTGCCCACTGACGATGCAATATTGCAAACAAATAATTCACAAGACTAAGTTTACACAACAGTGAGTGAATCGTTATGTTAATGTCTATCCAGTGGCACTTGCAACACAGCTATTCAACAGACCCTCGCACTGCGGGCTAATTAAATGAACTAACTGAACAAGTGCCCACTGATGACACAAGCTTGCAATCAATATTGTCACGGCTTCACGGTGACCAGATACTATAATCACAATCTTACGGGTCCTCCAACCCTCCAGGCGAGATACCCATGCAACTCGGCGGGTAGTCCAACACTGACTCCCCCTATCACAACCTAATGTGAACACTCTTTGCAACTCCCAGCAAGAATTTGCAAATGTAAACAGTAAACAAAGCCAGGCAAGGTGGGATTCTGAGACACTTCTCCAGTAATCCCCAAGTTACTTTACTCTCGTCACCAGACGATAAACAAAAGAAATTGCCTTAATTAACACTTTCGCCCACTGATATGACGAAGTATGGAGTCAAAAGTCTACTTTTTAACCCTCAAACCGCTAGGGGCCAAATGGATTTAACACCCACAGGCGCAACAAAAAAAAAAATCCAAAAAATTCTTTCGTCTTATAGAAGTGTTCATTTTTGTTCCCTGATTACGGAAAAAATACCAAAAAAATCGTAGGTGGCATATTTTAGCAGCAATAGGGTAGGGAAGTCTGACAAAAAAGGGACGTTGACAGAGCCTTCACCAAACGAGGTCTACTCCGCTCGAGCTGTCAGGCGGCAGTTGCCACAAATATATTATTACCTAATTATTTCAATGTCTCTGATTGATTTTTTCTTAGTTTTTTGCAGTAATATTATTCAATACAGTGAATTGTGATATATTTATATAATAAAATGTGTGAACCATCGCTGTACTCAAAATTATGGTGTGCATATTAGGGATTCAATTATTATGTTCATAAAACAATAAACAAATAGTTTTGCTGTTGTTACACTATATACACAGGTTATATATAAGTATTTGCCTGTTTTGTTCACCATAACGAACCACGAAGTTGGTCTTGTGAGTCAAAAAGCAACGAGGAGTGACCGCCATACACCAGCCAGCCACTCGCTGCCACTCCCTCCCTCAACAACACCTCACTCGCCCTCATTCTCCTCCCACAGTACTGTTTTTGCATTTATTCACTATACACAGATGTTATATATAAGTATTTACATGTTTTCTTCACCATAACTGTACATCTAAGCTTGTATGGTGAGTAAAGACACAAAGACGTAGCTACTCACAGTCAGCTGGTGGCGGCCGCCCTCAAGGCCAGACGCATTAATATTTCTCCTCCAACAATATTGTTTGTGGTGTCATTACTATATACACACATTATATATAAGCATCTACCTGTTTTATTCACCATACCTGTACAAATAAGCTGGTATGGTGCCCAAAGACCATAGTGGCCACCAGTAAACAACATGATAAGTCGTGCAGACGACGCACCTCCCTCACCAAAATGGCGGCTCCCAACCTACTCCTATTGCTGTTATCACACTCTATACACACGCTATATATAAGTATCTACATTTGTGTTCACCATAGCGAACCACTAAGCTGGTATGGTGAGTGCAGTCAATAAAAGGTGACCACACAGTCAGAAGACAACGCCACAACCCTCCCTCCCACAGCCTTACTCCTCCCTCCATGAAGCACAGCGCTAAATATCACCACAATCCTGCTATTATCAGAATCCTGGTCAATTTTGTCACAGTCAGGGGTCTTCTATAATACTATCATCGCTAAATAATAGCATGATCATATATATTATGGCATTTGTAGGCGATGCTGTGGTCAAAAGCTGAACATAAATCTTGCGTAGTACTCCAAAGCATCATATGATGCGATGCGCAATTTACTGCAAGTCGGTCAAAGCATCATATGATGCGATGCGCAATTGAAGGGTTAAGAACCGTCAGTCCGTCGAGATCGAGTTCAGTGACGAAAGGAGGATTGACAATAAAAGAGTCCCCTCGCTCGAGACATTGGGTACTACAGTTCTATGGGTGCAAGAGTATGCCTCCTCAAACACCAGGGCGTCAAAACAAAACAAGGCCAAAGGAATGATCAAAACAGGCAAAAGGTCGGCAGGAAATAACAATTTGAAAGAAGAGGGGAGAAGAAAAATGAAACATGAGGAAAAGGAAAAGATGTCTGGCACAATTGGTAAAGACAGCAGCAGGAGCATAAGACTGCAAAAGGACAGAGGACTGACCCATGGAGCATCACACTCCAACAGCCGCCCACCAAGCCCCCTCACGGTGCCAACGGGCCAGACAGTGAGGTGGGCAAAAAGCCACAAGGGGCTCCCCACAGATAGCCCATCAGCCTGAAATTTTGTGAAGTTAGTGCGTACATACATGCTTGCTTGCTTGCTCACTCACTCACTATACCTGCTGCATTTCTCTAGGGCAGTCTTCATTCTTACTTCTCAGTGCCATAAGCAAATGCTTCAATTATTTGCCTAATGCAATGGCTCACAATTACGTCCATGGACTTTTTACACAAGTGTACACCAAAAATTATGCAGCAAATACACAACCATATTAATTTCCTAATTAATGATTAATACATACTGGGTAAATATAAGATGCTGCATAATAAAATTGAGTGATAAATAATACAGTGATTAAAAGAATCTTCCTTTTAATTCTTATTCTACAATATTTGCATACTATAGTAGAAAAATAAACCATTTATTTAAAGACTAACAGCACAGTAATGAAAAGTTGCTCATACTTGGACAGGATTGCTTCCCAGTATGTGTACCTTCTGCTCACCTGTCTTCACAATATTTGTATGTATTATCCTTGAACATCTATAAAGAATATATGAAATTTACTGCACAGAGATATTCAGTGTCACTTCAACCAGATTTTTGGCAAATTTTTTATACCCTCTTCGATTTTCATGCAATTTAGTACACTTTTAGATCTCCAAGAGAAATTTAATGACTGCTTACATCTGTAGCCAAAATGGTTCTAGAGATGGGGGCCAACTTTGAATTTTGCCAAAAGGGTAAATTGTAATCTCGGTTCCTATGGTACACAGAGTTCATTCAAATTCCATTTAAAATCTATCGAGTGGCTTTCAAACTTTTATTTTACGACATACCTTGCATTCCTTCAACACAAGGTATGCTTAATTTACAATCAGGGAACAAATACAAAAGTTGACTTTTAATTCAACCTTTGTTCTTGGAAATGTCATTTAATGTCAGCCTGAATTTTTTCAAACTATTAATTAGTATAGATATGGTAGTAGTATTTAACAAATTTTCTGTGGCAATCCAGTAAAAAAGGATATGCACTCATTTAAATGGACCTAACTTTGTTTGAAAACCTTGACCAGGAGCATAGATCAACATTTGGAGAGCCATAACTCTGCATTTCAGTTACAGTAATGACAAATTTTTTTCCATTTCTCTTTAAATTTTTGACCATATAAATAAACACAATCTCTAGCGTATTCCAATACAGTATATATATGTTTGTTATTTGTAGGTCAAATTATTCCAGAACTTTAATATCCTTCACCTTGGTCACTATTACTGTGACGCTTTTGGAAAAAACAAGGTCCTCTTTTTAAAAATTTGTATTCCTTACCTAAAGATCTGATATACAGTACTGTATTGAAATCCATTACAAACTCCTGACAAACCATAAAATATGTAAAAACTGCCGAAGGAAGTTGGCAAAATCTCCGGGTCCTCTTGAATTAAGGCACGATGATGGAAAATTAACTTTCTGCAAAATTCAAGGTCGTGTATCAGGGGAAATGTTTTAGCTGCAGACGGGAAACAAAGACTCAAATTCTCTCACTGAGATAAACAAGTAACAAACTGCATCAAAGTCGGAGAAAATGCTGGAAGCCACCTGGGCGACGTGACAATGACACTGTAACAGTATAGTAAACAACTAAACACTTGCTAATTATCATTTGCAAACTGTTTTTGGCATTAAAGATAACATACTGCATAACTAAAAATCGAGAACAAAAAATATTCATTCTATAAAACAGTCAGCAGGTTTTAAAAAAATGTCTTTCTCCTTGCAACAAATTTTTCAGGTTTTGTTCCATGAACATTTTAATTACAAAGATCTGTATTTATCATTAAGGCACCTTTAAGCATTGAAAGAATACTGTACATCATTATCCACTGTCAATGCCACATGACATACATAATCAATTTTATTTCAGCATTGTATATGAAAACTCACTCATATATTTACATATATATTCATATAAAACTCACTCACCCTATATATTTTTTATGAAAACTCACTCATTCCTATATATTTTCTCACAAAACACTCTTAAACTCTAAGTCAACATTTTGTACCCTTACTGAACACATTTACAGGAATAATGAACTAGGAACGTCACTTTGTAAGCTTCAAATTAAATCAAGTGAATTCCGTTATCAAGCACATCACCTCTAGCATCTGAGAAACACAGTATTGAAAGAGCAAGTAATACTGTACAGCCAATTCAAGTGAAAAGTTAACAGGAAGTAGTGAAGGAGCACAGTCATGTACCTAGATAATGACCATTTCGGAGAAAATGCTGGAAACCACCTGGGTGACGTGACAATGACACTGTAACAGCATAGTAAACTAAACACTTGCTAATTATCATTTGCAAACTGTTTTTGGCATTAAAGATAACATACTGCATAACTAAAAATCGAGAACAAAAAATATTCATTCTATAAAACAGTCAGCAGGTTTAAAAAAAATGTCTTTCTCCTTGCAACAAATTTTTCAGGTTTTGTTCCATGAACATTTTAATTACAAAGATCTGTATTTATCATTAAGGCACCTTTAAGCATTGAAAGAATACTGTACATCATTATCCACTGTCAATGCCACATGACATACATAATCAATTTTATTTCAGCATTGTATATGAAAACTCACTCATTCCTATATATTTTCTCACAAAACACTCTTAAACTCTAAGTCAACATTTTGTACCCTTACTGAACACATTTACAGGAATAATGAACTAGAAACATCACTTTGTAAGCTTCAAATTAAATCAAGTGAATTCCGTTATCAAGCACATCACCTCTAGCATCTGAGAAACACAGTATTGAAAGAGCAAGTAATACTGTACAGCCAATTCAAGTGAAAAGTTAACAGGAAGTAGTGAAGGAGCACAGTCATGTACCTAGATAATGACCAAATTATATTTAAGTAACCGAATATAACAGCTATTGTGGTGTGTGTTTGTGCATTTGTGTGTGAGCTTTTGTCTGCAATTTTGCCTAACCTAAATGGACCTAACTTTGTTTGAAAACCTTGACTAGGAGCATAGATCAACATTTGGAGAGCCATAACTCTGGAAACATTTCAGTTACAGTAATCACAATTTCTATTCCCGTGGTGGTGGCGGCAAGTCGAACATTTCATCACAGTGGCTCCAATTTCACACGCTATTTATCTGAGGGAAATTGTTTTTTTATCAATAAATACAATAGATACACTTCATAAAAGGTTTCATAATGTTTATGCATAAAATTATAAGAAGCAAATCATGGACAGTATCCAGCAAAAATTGTCAAAGTTCTTGTTGGCACTTTTGCCTTAAATTATAGCAAACATAAAATAACTGACAATAGCATTTGTCATAGCTACACCTGTATTTTTCACAAAAGCAACACATTTACTGTGATTATACCACCACTATGAATGAATTAATAAATCTATGGACAGTACTGTAAAATTCTACTTCAAGCATCCGGAGCATTGCTCTGGTCTCCTCCAGGTTTATATGTAGTCTTTTGGATAAACATTTCCATTTTTATTCCTTTCAATGCTAGTTCATTATAATAAACAATTGCTCATTTAGACAGTTTTTACATGTGAATAAATTCTATAACAAATAAAAAACCAGCGTTGAATGTAATGAAACGCAATTTTCTGGGCGAGTCCCGAAGGCTCCCCGGAGCTATCCCAGGCTGATATGCTAATGTCAGACTTTGGCATCAGTCATGTGTATGGAGTTCTTAGGCCTACCGGGGACCACGGCCAGAACCGGGCCCCCTCAGAGAGGCAAGGGGAGCAATGGCCTATAGAAGCCCCCGTGTGGTTGGAAGCACTCTATGTCTGCCATCTGTAACAAACTAGGCTGGTTGTAAGAATTATCCAGAGTGGTTTATCGACAAAAGAGAATGGGAAGCTGAAGCTGGTCACCCGCGTGGTGACCCGGGACCTGACCCCAGGGAATTCGCGGTGAAAATAATCGACGCCTTGTTCATAGCTTCGTATAATGAACCATTCTATAGTATTCAGTAATTTAGAATACTGGGTACTGGGCGCGCAAGTCCTCCGCAACGAGCGCCGCCGAAAGAGTGGGAACCTGCACATGGAGCTGAATAACGCCCACATCGCGGGGAAGGGCAGGGGCAAACAAGCACTCATTCAGGTACTCAAGCTCGCCCCCCAGGAAAACCTAAAGTACCGTAGAAGATTCCCGCCACTCCAGCGTGCGAGAACGACAGAAGGAATGCCAGGAATCCAGAACAAACAAGGGGCAGTCTGCTAGCCAGGACGACTCCGGAACCTCGTAACGGAGCCAGAAAGGGAACGAAAACCCAAACCTGAATTCGGACGGATCCATTTCCGAGGCATAATCTGGGTCACGCAGGAGGTAAGCTGCAAAGGCCGCTCGCACCACACCAGGTTGGATGCGATAAGCCGAAAACCTCCAGAAGGACGGAACCGACGTACCCGGGGGAACACGGAACCGAACCCGGGGAGGGGCCGACACCAAATCCAACTCGTACGCAGAGGGGGGAAAAGAAAACCCCACTCCTTGTAACAATAAGCCCCGCTCAGAGGGAAGAAAAACCCAGGCGGGGTCCAGCAGGGCCCAAGGCCCCCAAGTCAGCCCCTCCCCAGCCTCGAGGTCCTTCACCACAGGATCTGAGGCCGAGTCCTCTCCCCAAGCCCCGACCCCACAAGACAAGGACGGAGCAGCCGGAAAAGCTGGAGGAAGGGGGGGGGGGACCAGAACAAACAGAAGGGAAAGGACGAGGAGGTGCGGACTGAACCAGGATCGAAGCGACCCCCACCCCCAAGTCCGGGTCTCGAAAAGCAAACCGGGGCAGCCTCGGGGCATCCGGGTGAGCAAACAACCGAGTGTGTTGCAACAGACGAAACCTAGACTGCAACGCACGCACCGCCTGTACCCGAATAGAATCATCAGAGGATTGTGTAAATTGAGTCACAAGCAAGCAGCAATACTCACAGGACTCAGGGTCGAAAGTATCACCGACCCAACAGGCAGCGTGGCAGAGGCAAAAACAATGAGGGTCACCCTGAGACAAGGGGACCGAGCAACCCTCAAACTCGCACACAGTGAGTGGGGACTCCGGGGTCACATCCATCGGACCCACGCGCCCCCTAAGGGATTCCCAGGGTCCTGAGCGTTTACTTTAAGAGGACTCGCGCTCAGGTAGTCCTAGGCAGGATGCTGCAAACCGGCGCCCAAAACTACCAAGCGAACTTCTATAGCTGAACCCCAGGGATGTGTACATTCACGGGGACCTAGCAGGGGGCGCCACCGAGGAGAACAGTGGAAGGGCAAAAACAAACTGAATTAAATGACAGAACAAAAAACAAAAAGAAAAACAAAACCCCGCAAGAGGACAGCGAACCCCAAGGAACAGAGCCGGCCACGATGTCGGGAATACAAGCTGTGCAGCACCCTGCGCCCCAACCAGTGCAAACTGCCTCTTACCTGCCGGTAACAAGGGAGAACAGAACACCCAAGAGCCCAACAGGCGGCCGAAAAACCGAATGGTAAAACGGACCAGCAGAGGCAGACCCCGAGGAGCCTGTGGAAGGTGGCCCCAAGCCCCATGGGCAGTACTTACAGGGCACCTAGGGAAGGCAGCCCTAGGCGCATGCAGCCCGAGTACTGAAGATAACTCCTGGCTCTCGCACCCACAAAACCAACACCACATGCAAAGCACAGTGCAGTAGCGACACCGGAGCCAGAGCACATGACCATTGCCTATAGCATCAGCCTCAAGAACTGAGGTGTGGGTAGCCGGCGTGGAGGATCTGGGGCTCCCCCTTCCCCCTCCCGGGGAGGGGGGAGCTGCACAGACAGCGGCGCGGCGGTGTGTGACGTCACACTAGTTTGCTTGTTTTTGGTTGGGGAGTTCTATCCACTAGTTCGGCTTTTGGTAGCAATTTTAACCAGAATAGGGGTTTGTTTTGAGGCGCTTACCTTTCTGGGTACCTCTTCCGGTCGATTGCAGACATAGAATGCTTCCAACCACACGGGGGCTTCTATAGGCCATTAATTGCTCCCCTTGCCTCTCTGAGGGGGCCCGGTTCTGGCCGTGGTCCCCGGTAGGCCTAAGAACTCCATACACATGACTGATGCCAAAGTCTGACATTAGCATATCAGCCTGGGATAGCTCCGGGGAGCCGATGGGGCTCCCCCCAGAAAACCATTGTTTACCTTGGATTTCTGGGAGAACCCTCAGTATCATCCCAAGCTACATCTTCATACTTCTCTAAACTTGCGTTCGACACTAGGTCTGATGATTTGCAAGCATCAGAGATGGGTACTAAAGTCTGGTCTAGTCAATAAAGGTAAGGGGAGCCTGGGGATCTAAGACCACTACAGAACAGAACCAGAATGAGCCCATCAAAACAGACAACAATGAATCCCATTTGTAATGATGATCCCAATCATGTAAATATTCATTAATTAGTCTGAGGTGCCCCTGCCCCCAGATGGCACCTCCAGTCCAACAATATAGTAATTCCTATACCTGGTGCTCTACTGTCCAGTCCTGTACAGGTCTCACTGTGACAGCTTCGATTTTCAGATGAATTCTTTAAACTTTGTCCAGTGTTTGGGCCTGTGCTTTTTGTTCCCTTTTAGCTTTATGCAAGCATTTCATGAATTCATGTTTCCAACAGCTCCAAAGGACCAGGGTTATCTTCCAAGGTGGCCATTTACATTGGCTCTGCTTTCAAATTTGGTCATCCTACAAGGCGATTCTGGTGCCCCTCGCTTGGGACTACTCGGAATTAAAGGCCTCACTGCTGGTAGTGTATGGGCTTTTGTTCTCCTGCAATTCTCAGTGGTAGGGTTGACTGGTCTCATGGTCTTTGGCTGCACTTGCCAAAACTTGTTGTGGAACACACTGTATGTGACTGATGTGCCTGGTGTTTTGTGTATGGCAGCACGCCCCTTCTGTTACTGTGTGCTCCAAGGTCGGGGGACCATGTTCATGAGTGTGCGTAGTCTGCTCCAGTAGGTGTTAGAGTTTTCCCATGCAGGCCCATGGTTGGAGATGAGCATGCTGCCGTTTGTTTAGGTGCAAGTTGCCTTTTATGTAGGAAAATAAGACTCCAGTATTAAATGTAATGAAACTCCTATTTTTGAGCAAGCCCCAGTGGTTCCTTATTACTAGATTACATCAGCCATTGAGTTCAGGTTGGCCTATTAGGGACCAGACCCAGAACCTGGCTACCTCTCAAGAGGTGCAAGACGCAGGTGACACTGCCATCACACTAGGGAAGGCCACCCACAATGTCAGTGAATCAATGCAAACCACTGATGGGTAAAACAAAACACCACACCCATGCCTCACAACTCGCACCAAATTAACTCCCCCAACAAAGTAAAAGATCAACCCTCTTAAAACAAGCATGAACTCGTTCACCCTATCCCTCCCACTAGTTTGGAGAAGAAAAAGGCTGGGGCTCATGTTGCCCACTGGCCTGAGCAGTCAGTTCTAGAGCAAATGCAACCAAAACTCTCCCAACTGATGACCTGGAATAGATGAGGTAACTGTTAAGTCATTATGGCTCGCCCAAAAATTTGCATTTCATTACATTCCATGCTGGTTTTTCTGGAAAAGAGAGGGGGGGGGGAGGCAGAGCCCATTGTGGCTCCCAGAAGCAAGCTACCTATGAGAAAAAAACAGACACCAGGAAGGAGGGAACAAAGGCAACACCCACCAGGGCCAAAAGAACAAAAACCCCCATGTCTGAAGATCAAACTCCCCGATCAAGCAACTGGTAGCCAGGGCCAGCAAAAATAAGGCTATCAAAAAAGAATCCCCTACTGAAAGGGACACCATAAACCTCAAAGAAAGAAATGAGAGAATACAGTCCAAAGATCAGGCAGGCTCAAGTAGCATAAGAGCAGGATGGAAGTGAAACAATGTGTGAGCTTTGAAACGGTGCCAAGGACGTCTATGCAGAATGCAAGCAACACTGGCAGAGCCAGTGTCGAACACTGTCACCAAAAAGGCGATTGAATTATGCAAACATTGCTGATGAGGAAACCAAACAGGACTGAAGGAACAACACACTCAGAAACCAAAAAGTAATGAAGAGAATGGAAGTGATGAAAAAAGCACCAACAAAAAACACCGAAAAGAAAGAAACAAGCAGAGGTGGGACAATCAA